GGACCATGGCCCCTACGCCTGAGGACCTGGATGATTCCAGATTCTATCCCACCATCTCCAAAGCCAAATAGCACCTGGGCACTGCATGAAGATATGTTCAATGGTCTCCGGAATTGTTTTCGTCGGGAAGGCCGTCTTGCAGAATTTACACCATGGAGCGGCTAATAATATATCATATATGCCTTTTTGCTCTAACGATGAATAATCCATCCACCAATCGTTGGTGGGCAGACATCAATATGCTCATCTTTGCCATTGGACAGACTCCACTTTAGCGGACTTTGATTTCGTCAGCGTAATGTTCAGCCAACCATCAACCTCCCTTCAGAAGGTTAAGATCTTTTCCGTTGAAAGATTCCGATACGACGAGTCCTTCATCTGGTTGCCAACTTCTCCTTCAAAATTCAAATCGATTTTCGGACGACGCATTCGATAAAAGTGGAATTTTATTTTTATTAAAATTAAAAAAAAAAAAGTTGATTTTGCTGTCAGAGTACGAAGACATCTTTTTTACACATGGTCTTCTTTTATTCCTAGTCAAGAACCATGTTCCCAATTAACTGGGTCAAGATCAACAAGGTGCGAAATTAATGTATCTGGTCCACAAAATGCTCACCATGCATTCTTTTTCTTCAAGATCCTCATTCTCGAAAAACTTGATTAGTTGTTAGTAAATTGTTACCCATCGGATGTCATCTTCTTCCTTCTTTGGGCTTAATTCATTCCGCTGTTAAATTTCAAAAATGGACAAATAGGATGTCACCATGAGGGTAGACTTCCAGTACATTACATATAATTCCTGATTGATCTTTTAGCAAGTGATTGCAGTGTTTCCTAAGAAGGAAATGTCCAATAAGAGTTTGCAGTGTTTTCCGAAAATAGTAAAATGGCCAATTGGATGACACTCCATCATCGAATGCAGGACAAAGGAACATTTTCACGAAGAAGACGAGATTAAATGGCCAATGGGATGATACTCCGTCATCGAATGAAGGAAAGAGAATATTTTCACGAAGAAGATGAGATTCGAGAGACAAGAATTAAACATAAAGTACCGGGACAAAAAAAAAAAATAAAAAAAAAAATGCCTATGTTACCAGTTGTTCGATGGCAGGACATACTGGGCGGACAGTCAGGGGGGATCCCAGACGTCCGGGCCCGGACAACTCCATTTTAAGCAATTAAAAGCACAAACAAAAGGGAAAAACATTGGGGGTGTTTTTAATTTTATTTTTTATTTTACATTTGACACCGAATTTCGATATCATCCCAAGGCAAAAGTTGTTCAGTTTCGTTTCTGAGGACTTCTTTTTTTTTTTTTTGGGGGGGGGGGGGGGGGTTCGGATTCGGACAGACTGCCTGGGAAGGATGTCCGACCGGTTGTCCGAGCGGACAACACCGGACGGTCAGGGGGGTCCCAGACGTCCAATTAAGCAGCCTAGAAAAAAGCAAAACAGACGCTGAGACAGTGCGAGGAGGGGAACAAGAAAATGCAAGGTGGACTCAAAGGCCACCTACTGACACTACAGCTTTATATTATTAAATGTCTTTGGCCACATTTACCGCCCGACCTGGATGTACATGACCGCAATTGCGACCGTGAACAAGCAAAAAAAGTCCTAGTGTGCATACACCCTCAGACTGAGCTGCATGCGCTCCACAGGCCAGAAGCATCAATGTCCCAACTACAATAGATGCAGATACGAAGCAATCAACCAAAAGGAGCTAATTCTATCACACACAGCAATAGTAAATACTATGTACAACAGTGAAAAAACTTCAAAAAGCTCGTTAAAATATTCAAAATTTTTGAGAAAAACTGAAACGCAGTAACTGGAGGAGTTAAGACGTAGACATGCTACTGTTCAGACAAAAAAAAACATTCCGGGGAGCAACCACCAAGACATCCCAAAAATGTCCCCAGAACATGGGGCTTGCCAACAAATGCCCCAAATGACCACCCCCGCCCTCCCACCCCTCCCCCACACGTGGTTAACGGGGGACCCCCCAGTTTCAGCTCCTGAGTAACAGGTCCAAAACTGAAATTACGGTTTGGAGGTGGAATTTTATGTTCCTTTTTTTATTTTTTATTTTTTTTTTTTGCCCGTTTTTGTCCTACTTCAAGATTGTTGTGTACCAAATTTGGTCTCATTTGGAGCATTGCAATTTCCTCTGATAAGACCATTTCCAGAAACGCTGAAAATTCTGAAACTTCGCTGAATCCAAAATGTCACTACTGTTTCACCCTGTTTTTACTTTATTCTTTTCGTTTTTCTTTAATGGTTCGTTAATCTGGTGTGCACCTCGGTAACCGACGTTCGGGACGGGCCAAACGCCCGAACGTATGGGACCCCTTGGGGATGCGTTCGGCCGTTCGGGCCGAACGCGGACCCAAAAAAAGAACACAAAAAAAAAAAAAAACTCAAAACAATCTGAAAAAAATATATGTGAATAATGTTATAAAGAAAAATAAATTAAACAAGATTTGCCGGAGGATTACATCCAAATTCCTTACCAAATTTGAAATAAAATTACAATACAGAGAACAAATACTAATAATAAAAACAGTTTTAAATAACAAAAAATAAAAAGAGAATTAAATTTAGTGAGTGCATGAGCATGTTTTCGACACCACCATCTTTGGCGATTTTTCATTTTTTTTTGGCATAGCTAAATGCCCTGAAAATTTACAGGTGTGTTCTTCACATAATACAAAACCCACTAAAACATTTTCAAAAAATAATAAAATTGTTTAGACCCCGAACTAAAGTGAAAACAAAAAGTAAAGAGTGAAAAGAAACGTGGGCGAGCACGTTTTGACACCGCCATCTTCGGCGATTTTTAATTCTTATTTGGCTGAGCCAAATGACGTCAAAATTTATAGGCATATACCTCACGTCATAGAGAACTCACCAGAAAAAATTCAGAAAAAAATTCAGAAAAATATATATATTTTTAGACCCCGAAATATTTTTGGCTGGGGCTGAACGCCGTCGGGTTCAGACCCCGTACGCGACTCTCCGAACGCCCGTACGTACGGCCTGGTCACCCTGGTGTGCACTCTATGGAATGATGCAATTTTTGGTTACAATGGGCTTCTGGTTTTCTTATAAATAGCATTCAGAAAACGCTGAAATTTTGGGTCTCCGTTAACCGCCTGCCGCCTCCCCGGCCCCCTACACCCGCACACCCACAAAAAAAAAAAAACAAAAGAAACGAAACACCCCAAATGCCACACTGTTAACGACTCCCAAAGGTGCAACACTCTACTGAGGCCAGATTTTCGCTCGTGAAAGCTAACAAATCCCCCAAAATGTCCCACCCAAGAAAAGCCCCAAATAATATGCCAAAACTGTGCGAGTCATCAACACGTTGTGCTCACATGATTCTCCAACCCCCTGTTTCTCTCTTAAACCACCACTACCTTTTTCGCAGGCAAACTCGAAATGCAAATATGCCACACTCTGTCGGACCACCGCCAGCCGTGGAAAAAGTGTTTTTGCCACACATGCATGCACACACAGCCATACATCTTGCTTACAGTAAGATTTTGTATTTCCATAAATCTCTGCCCACACGTACAAAGGGTATCTTTGNACATCTTGCTTACAGTAAGATTTTGTATTTCCATAAATCTCTGCCCACACGTACAAAGGGTATCTTTGTGACCTCTCTCTCTCTCTCTCTCTCTCCTTCCCACACACACACACACACACACACATACACACACTTATACACACAGTAAGAGCCACACATGCATGCACACACAGCCATGCATACACAAACCCAACGCATGCACACGCCTTCACCCACCTCCCACCTGCGTGCATAGACTCTTCCCATCGTAAAAGGCAACTCAGCGGCAGACTGGCAAGATTGAGGCTCTTCAAGAGTGCTTGGGCAAAACTGCGCTCGGTTCCTTCCACTCTCCTTCTGTGCTCCAATGGCTGTCCCAGCCTCAGACTTGGCTACCAACTTACCATGGTTAGCTGTGAATTCTTTGGTTCTGCGCTTCGTAGTAAGAATTCACCGCTCACACTTACCATGGTTCTGCGTTTCGTAGTAAGAATTCACAGCTCGGTGCTCACACTTTGGTTACCAATTTACCATCGTTAGCAACTTTTACCATGGCAAGGTAAGTAAGTTGCTAACCATGGGCAAAAGCATGGTAAGCTGTGAATTCTTACGACGAAATTGGGCTGGAGTTACCGAAACACACAAGTTGCCAAATGGGGCAATATAACCTAACTGGGCCCAAGGTGGTTTTCAATGTCGTAGCTGCTGCTGTGAGCAAACAAGGTGGTACTGGATAAGAAAAGAGAAAAGAAAGAAAAGCAAAGGAAAAAAAAAGGAAGAAAAAGAAAAGGAAAAAAACAGAAACAACGAGGCCAGATAAGAAGAGAGAAATGGGAGATTCAAACAGATGCTAGGGGCAAAAAAAAAAAAAAAAAAAGCACGGCAACTGCAAGAATGGGGCATGATGAGACGTGTACTGTTGGGACTTGGAAACACTACATGCAAAGTCAGGGCCCATGGCGGGGGAGGATTAAAAAACTGTAGACATTATTTAGAAAAAAAGGGTCAAAAAAAAAAAAAAAAAAAAAAAAAAAAAAAAAAAAAAAAAAAAGGGGTCCAGGAGAGGAGGGTTAGGTGAAGATTGGATGGAAGTCTCCAGTCCCTGCTAAAATAGGAAAGAAAAAGACATTGTAGAAAGGGAGCGACGAAAGTCACTGCTAAAATAGGAAAGAAGGCAGAGGAGGAGAGAGAGAAAAGAGAGAAGACTTCACTCACTCTATCCAGGTGAGAAGAAGACAAAACCATAGTCCACTCCACACCCCCCCACCACCACCACAAAAAAAAAAAAAAAGGAAAGACGAAAGTTCAAAAAACCGTAGTAAAAAAAAAAAAAAAAAAACGTAGTCCAGACTCCAGACATGAGAGACGTGCCCTCAAAATGTTCCTATGAACAAAAAATTTGAAAAAAAAAGGTTTGCTATTGAGCGATGAGCAGCATACATGCCACAACTATAACTTTCCCTCGAATGCCCATTTTACAGAGAAGTACAGTGACGCCTGCCTTGTCGACTAGCGAATGAGGGTCCTATCTTTAGCTAGTACACATTTTGTACATGGCCTGCACGGACAACAATCTACAACGACGACGACGACATGATACGACAGGGCCCACTGTCAGCGAAATCTACGCTAATGTCTCCGTCATGCGGATTAACTCGCACCCGTGTCCGCATTTCTTCTTCACTCTACACGAGCAGCCTTTTCCATTAGGAAACCCGCTCTCCCGATGATGCTAACTGTCTCGTCTCTCACCCGTCACCCGTCTACGTACAAAAAAACACTCCCCCCTTTTCGTTCAGCAGTCGTCCCGCCACGGATCGGGATGGCTACACAGGGAAAAGATTCTCTCACAAAGTCCCGAAGCCAACATCAAGCCTCGTCGTAACACATCCCCTAGGCTTTGAAAGTTTTATCAGCGTGTTTCGTGTACGAGATCTCCTGCTGTGAAATGTGCGCCTCCAAACAAATCCCTAGAAGAACTTAACTCACGCACTGTAATTCAGAGTTAGGGCATACTCACACACAACTTTCTGACTGCATCTGACCTCAATCACAGTCCGATTCCATCCATCTAAGCGTTCGCCGGTTTCCGTTTTTTGTGAAGTGCAAGTGTGAATATGTCCTTCGCCGCATAGTACAGCTTCTAACCAGAGTCAGGTTGATCTGCAAATCCTACCTCTTCCCCACTCTGCCGTCCCAACCAATGAACTCTCAGAACCAGGACTTCTCTTACACATAACCCTATAGTTCTAGAGGAAACAAAAAAACTAGACTGTACTAGATTAGCTCCTGGCAAGAGCGAGCGAGAGAGAGAGAGAGAGAGAGAGAGAGAGAGAGAGAGAGAGAAGAGCTCCTGGGAAGACCAAATTTCCAAGTCTCACCACAGTTTGAAACATCAACGAGCTCCCCGCCAAACTTTTTGATGTCTTCTTTCTCCATGCTTTCCCCTGATAACGTGTGAACAAGTACACAAAGCACCTTTTGTCATTGTGCGACCGCTGCCATTCTCGAGCGACAGCGGAAGCTTGATTACTCCTCGTAAAGAAGCTCTGAAAGATAGCAAGGGCAATGGCAAGGGTGAGCTGTACTACAGCCTCACTCACTGCTATCCCTCTGTCTTCCGTTCCTGCACAGTCCAGGTTCATGTGCCAGCCTCCGGCACTATTTCCCTTCACTAATTTCATGCATCATAACACGACCCACTCTTGATCTGAAAAAAGAATTATCCCAGCCCCTTTGCAAACTACCAGAACGATCTATTGCCTTTTAGGTAAAGCACCCACTCACCGACTCACCCACTCCTGTCACACTAGTATACGGCTTTCCCGTTCCCAGAATATACTCACCGGGCAGCAGCAATGTCACATATCCTGCATTCATCGCGCTCCGTCGACCAAAGGAAATTACATAACTGTCCCAATCTAACAGAAAGATCTATTACCTTTCTAGATAAAGCACCCATCCCATTCCCACACTCCTGTCCCAGTATGATGTGGCATTCGCCGTCTCCAGAACACACTCACCGGGCAGCAGCAACATCACATCTCCCGCGCTCCTCGCCCTCTGCTGATCAAAGAGATTTACAGATCTGCCCCTCCACAGCAGGCGCACAATTTCACATCGCTCCTGTTTTCTGCATTCACTCCTGGCCCCACACGGCTCATTCCCCCCAAAACCCTAAACCCTAAACCCAAAATAGCCTCCACTTAAACTCTTGCCAATTGGCACACAGATTCGCCAGCTCGCCCAGAAAGTCCTACCAGAACCCACTCCTGAGCACGTGGCAGACCATCATCTCAAAAATAACCCCCCAACCTCTCCCCCACCTCCAATCTCTCTCCCTTCCTATGCCTAAAATCACTGCTGCACAAGATTCTCTGAAATAACAAACATCCGGACAAACCCTCTCACAGTTTTTCTAGATAGAAGAGAAGACAATGTGAACAGCGACGGACGGACGAGGTCGGACGACTAAGAGAACAAAACAAACGAGGGGCAGAACGCTAAGAAGAATTATTGACCAAAAAAATCAGAGTAACAGAGATTAGAAAAACCCCAAGGTCAGACCGAGAACATACGTACAGATCCCAATTGTAGCAAGCGCAAGCGAGACAGTCAGGACGTCCGCAACCCAGCCGCTGCCGCTCTCGTTCGGCACGGTCCCTTCTTGCCCACCCCATCCTCCCTTCGCCTCTTGCTTTCCGCCAACCTCTCCTTCATCGCAGGGCGTGTCTTTCGCCCTGGTCATGTTATCCTCACCCTTTCGATTCTGCTTCCGCAGACCCGGACCATGCGACTTGTTGATCAGAGCAGCACCGCCTCCACCACGCCCACTGCTGCTGTTGTTTGCAGCATGCTCCTTCGTATACCCCGCGATCGGTAGTCCCCCGGCGCCCTCTCTTCCACAGCAGCTCCGCATCTTCAGCGAGTCGTTCTCAACCTCAAGGATGTTAACCCACAGACGGTGTGTGTACGACCGGGATGCCTCCCGAAACACAAACTGCCGGAGTCGTTGGTTTTCAATAAGCACAGCTTCTGCCACAAATTCCGCCTCCCGCGCACGTGTCTGCGACCGGCACAGCGCTTCACCGAGCAGCACCGCCCCGTCAGCATGTCTCGCACTTCGACTCGTCCCCGCCCCCCTGTCTGTTGTTCGGCTGCCGTTGCCTGAAGTCGACGCGAACCTTGTCTTGTGCTGTGACGAGTCCTTTCTGCAACGGACAGTGCCATGCACACAACGAGAAGTAGGCAGCGGTCGTCGTCAAGCAGCGGGCCGGGAATCAGAAGCCAAAACAAGAAAAGGTGCATCTATTCTAGGTATTGGCCTCACTCCACATTGTACGCGTATATGGACCACACAAGTGAACGAGATGTACTTGGACATATGCAACATTGTCAATGCATCAGGACCATTTGCACACTCCCGACACGTTTCGAACGTTGTCTAGTGGAGCAAGGCCCCCTCCAAGCCTTCAAATCAACCCTTCCTTAGGCCAACACACATACTCACTACTCCTGCACAAGTGGTTAGCCGGGACCCCCACTTTTCAGCCCTTCGGTTAACGTGTAGGAAGCTGAAATTAGGGTTTGGGGGTTCGAAAATATATATTGTCACATAACTATGAACTAAAAGAGCGCACCTTGTGAAACAAACAGCAGAAACAAAAAATTAAAAAACAAGACAAACATGAAGGGCACACTGAGATCATTCATTTTTCTCATTCTTCTTTTAACTCCCCCTTCACCGTGCCTCTCATGTACAAGGCTCGCCACGTTGATGAAGTTGAGTATATATCGTCAAATAGAACTGCCCGGTAAACCGTAGGCAGAGAGGGAGAAGAGGACAACAAACGAGGGGCTGTGACAAACTGTTTCGTCGGAGTTTCACCGAGGACAACAAACGAGGGGCTGTGGCAAACTGTTTCGTCGGCGTATATACTTTTTACCTGTTTTTATTTCGCTCAAGGGTTTGCTTAAAATGACCCTTGTTTTTTTGTTATAAATGGCCTGACAAATTGTCTGAAAATTTAAACCGTCAAGGAGACATAAAGTTGGAGGCCTAAATTTTTAGACAACTTGTCACGCCATTTATAACAAAAACCCAAGGGTCACTTTAACCAAACATGGCACCAATTCATAAACTGGGCACCATATTAAGTTATCAAGTTATCAAGTTATTAACTACCTTTCAAAAATAAAACCGAGAAAGAATTAAAAAATGTAGAACTGCAAGCAGTGCAAGGCAAAGGGCACTTTCAGGCAAATTTGGCGCCCAATTTTTTTCCACAATGTTTCTCTTCTTTGAAAAACGCATCCTCCACTTGTCCCCACTGCGATTTCAATTTTCATAAACATTGCACATGATAAGGAAAAGATAAACATTCATCGGGACATCTGTTAGAATTGGAGTGAATAGCATGGGGCCCCTGCACAAGGATGACACACATGCATTGAGAAATATTCCAAATGACATATTTGATTAAAAAAAAAAAAAAAAAAAAAAAAAAGGGGGGGGGGGGGGGGGGGGGGGAGAATATCACTCACTTGGAGGTATAATAGCTTGACGACAATCCGTCTACTGAGCTGTTCCCAGAACCAGATACCCTAACGTATGCATGTCCAAGCATGACTGGTGGCGACTCGTCCATGGGAGAATCGGTTGTGACGGTGGACGATGGTAGCCGCCCTGTTGCAGGCTGGAGAAGATTGCCACCGTCATCAACGTAGAGATCCTCCTCCGTCCAGGTCATCGCATCTGCGTCATGATCCTTCGCTGGCGATGACCAATCAGAGCTGCCATGGCGCCAGCTGGCTGACTCCGACTCTCCTTTGGTGGCTATGTCAGGGAAGCAGTCCGCTGTCGATTCATCATCAGTCATTGTCAATGGTTCACGCTTCCTGCTGCTCTCGTCATCACACACCGTTGTAACACTGCCCACGTCATCAAACAAGCTCTCTTTGTGGAAACCGATCATCTCTGTCTCTACCTCGCCCATCATATGCTTCCCCTTCCTCTTCATCTTGATTGGTGTCATCGTGGTCGTCTTCCACATGTCCGTGTGTTCCCTGGCAAGCAACTCGCATTCCATATCGTCGTCAGCAAACACCGACGAATTTTTGCCTGCCTTGGTGGTCGTCGGCTGCAGCATCTCCTGCTGCCTCAGAGCCTTTTCCGGAAAACCTGCACTTGCGGCACCATGGCTGTCATTCTTCATGTCATCGGATAATCTCCAATCGGTGAAGGCGAACGCCGTTGTCGCTCTGGTCCCCGGAGAGGGCATGCAACATGTGGAAGCATCATACGCACCAGCACCAACCCTCTTCGTCCCTACGATGGACGCCTGCAGGCTGACATGTGTCGATCCGCCAGCGACCGGTGTGGGGACATTCACACCATCCTGCTGTGGCTGCTGCTGCTGCTGCTGCTGCTGCTGTGGCTGCTGCTCCCCAGCACACACAGCTTCTGCCCCCAAAGCTCCAGCACAGATTGCCACACCCAGACCGTCCCCGCGCGCCCTCCACCTCTTGCGCTCCCTCTCACTTCCCCCTCTCCCCTCCTCCAGAGTTAAGCTCACTCCAAGGCCATCTGACATAACTGAAGCTTCGGCAGTCACTCCCCCTTTCCCTCCTCCTCCTCCCCCTCCTCCTCCTCCCTTTTTGACATGAGTAGAACCTCCAGGTGGTGCCGAGCAGGAGCTCACTGACACCCTTACGTTGACCTCCATTGGGTGCGGCATTCCATTTCCGCCCACAGGAAATGGACTTGCGAAATCCTTTCTCGGAGTGACACGTGGTGCAATAAAACAGGGCCGTGCATTCCTCGTCTCCACTTGTTGTGAGACGGACAAAGGACGAGCAGGCGTAGGAGCCCCAGCGCTTGGAGTAGCAGGAGGAGGAGGAGCACTTACAATGGGGCAATGCCCCATCTTGCTATGCTTTCTTATAGCATCTTCATGCGTTGTTGTGAGCGGACGAAAGGAGCGCTGCCACGCCGCACGCACCTCAGCAGCTGCCATACTGTCTTTCAACCCCGGTGACGTCGATTGAACTTTCTCCCTGCCGATGGAAATACAAAAAAATGAGACCACCAAAACCAATCACCACTGTGCCCTTTGATGTATCTCTGCATGCTGTCAGGCTGCTCAATTCACAAAGAAGAAAGGAGGCGATGGCGAAGAAAAAGGCAAAGGAGGACGAGAAGAAGGAGAAGAAGAACAAAAAAGAAGGGAGAAGAAAAAGAAGAAGAGCAAGAAGAAGAAGAAGAAGAAGAAGAAGAAGAAAAAGAAAAACAAGAAGAATGAATCTTCCTTCGGGACATCCGTTAAAATTAAAATGATACAGAGAAGATTAGCATGGCCCCTGCGCAAGGATGACACGCATAAATCGACAAATGGTCCAAATAAAAAAAAAAAAGAAAAAAAAAAGAAGAGTGAATATTGAATATACCTCCTCGTTAACAATTAAAATTATTAAATACCATAACAAGTGAATGAATGGACAAGAATCAATGGTGGAGTGTTCGCCCTCACTGCCAGCACTCAAAGAGCTCTCCATGCGATCTCTCTCTCTCTCCTTTCCTCATGGTTTGGCTGTGCACCTTTGGCGGAGTGTTCCCCCTCACTGCCAGCACTCAAAGAGCTCTCCATGCGATCTCTCTCTCTCTCTCCTTTCCTCATGGTTTGGCTGTGCACCTTTTTTTGTTCGGTTAGGCTGTGCACAGATAGCTATGGTGGTTAATGAGATGCCTTCTAGGACGAAACAAAATTGAACGTTCGTTCTAGAGAACATTCAATTCGGGATGCCTAGAACGAATGTTCAAAGGCGAACACACTAGAACCATACTTCTCCCATCTCCCATCGCCATAGTTACTTCCACACGAAGTCGATGACAAACCGTGGACTTCCAGAAGCACCGCCAACCAAGAATGTGGATATGACATCCGCAGTAGCCAACGAAAGTCTCGCTTGTCAGTTCCCTCGTCCTTCCTCCTCCTCCTCCTCCTCCTCTACCCTCAATTATTTCCTTCCAGCTCCCTCCACATTCTAGCCTAAACCACCACTACACGCGGGCCTGCCAGCCTAACACCGCGCGCCAAGCTTTTCTGAACCGCCAGCAGCACACTTTTTTTTTTTTTTTTTATCGGCTGGTGCCGCCAGCCGTTGTGGTCCGGAAAAGCTTGTGTGCTGAGGCTCCAAAATTTCCGTTGGTGACCGACGATTTCTCCACAAGGCTGGCGCCGTGTGTGCTGGATTTAAGGTCCTTCTCCCTCTACCTCCATAACCCAGGCCGCCTCCATCTTACTACTACTAATCGTCCATAGCCATCGAAGTCTTCTTCCTTGCTCACAGCTCCCCCTAGCTCTACCCAGTGCTCAACCTCTCTCTCCCTCAGGGCAGAGCAGAGGCATGATCGCCGGGTGAATGTCCAGGCTACTCGTGGCAGCGAATGCCATACTGTCGGCCTCCAGTACCTCTATCGAGAGTATGGATGCGATTTTGATTGTCTCCTTGTCAGATGCTCTCGGCCTCAACCAGTGCACTAGGCCCCACTAAATCTTCGCTCTTTCGGGCAGGCACATCATTGCCATCTGCAATTCATTCCCACAGCCTGAATCTAGACCAAATCCTGTCTACATTCCAGATTATTGATGTGATTTTCACTCTCCTTGTCAGGTACTCCAGCCTTAACCAGTGCACTAGGCCCCACTGCATCTTCGCTCTTTGGGGCAGGCACATCATTGCTGTCTGCATTCATTTGCACGGCCTGAACCTAGACCAAATCCTGTCTACATTCCAAATTATTGATGTGATTTCGATTGCCTCCTTGTCAGGTGCTCTCAGCCTCAACCAGTGCACCAGGCCCCACTGCATCTTCCCTCTTCGGGGCGGGCACATCACTGCCGTCTGCAATTCGTTCGCACTGCCTGAACCTAGACCAAACCCTGTCTACATTCTGGCCCAGACCATCACAATCTTCTGCCAAGCTCCTCGACTCTACTAGGTCTGCCCGAGCTACTGGAAAATCCTACCAAGTCTTTAACAAATTCTACTTTAGTCCCTGTGCTTCACAAGAATCCACTAAGCGCATCCATCATCCCAAATTTCAGTCCTACCCCTGTCACTAAACCATCTCTACCCCTGGCGGGACACAAACACAGCTTCAACAAGAAAGTTAGACCCCACATATATAACAAGCATCGCATACACAACGCAGCAAAGCAGACTCAGGCTGCAAACACAGCCAAGCAGTCCAACATATAGCATTCCTGTGAAAACTGCACAGATCTCAGACTGCAACCGTGAGCGTCATTGCATATATACATATATTCAATCGCTCACTTCCGTTCCTATATCGTAGATTCGTAGGGAACAAACCAGCTTCCAAACCCACCCATAAGAGCAGGCATTACCATAAACAGCACGATAAGATTAAAAAAAAAATATATATATATATATATATATATCGTCAATATTAAAAAAAAAGAAAAAGATAAGAAGTAAGCACTGCAGCGGTGGAACCCTAGACTATTCGTGTTTTAATGAAATTATATGTACCCTTAAAAAAATGGCCAGGAAATCCTCGCCATGTTTATATTGCCACTCGGTAACGATACCCACAACGCATTTCAGATTTAACCAAAATGTACATATTGCTACTAAAAAATCAATCAACCCAGAGGGGCCAGAGCGCATTTGAGATATAAGCCCATTTTTCCTACGACCTTGAGCAGGAAATGCCCACACCTCCATCCTCCTATAACGGCACACTACTAAACATCCCATGTTTCACTTATTTTCAAAGATTACTGCCAAAATAGGTTCACCTGCTTATACACTGAGCTTGCACTGCAGTAGCACCGATGGGCAAAGGAGGACACATCAGAAGAGTACTAGGGGACCTGTTGCGGCTACGCCCGCAATAAAAATGGAATGTTTGTTGATGGACTCTCTCTCTCTCTCTCTCTCTCTCTCTCTCTCTCTCACACACACACACACACACACACGATCAGTTTTATGTTTGTTTGTTTTCTTGTTGCTGTCTGTTCTCCCCCTGATCTTTTTTTTGTTTTCCTGTTGTTGTCTGTTCTCCCCCTGATCCTTTTTCTGAGTATTTTTTGTTACCCAACTGAGCACCCTTCAGTAGTGCCAAACAGTCGGTGGTTCCTCACTGCACTCTTATGGGGGCCGCTCAGTTCGGGATGTCTGTGTTGCCTGTAGGTGATGACGGATGCTCGTCGGAGTGACTCCCTGGCTCAGTGGGTGGTGGGAACCAACAGTCTGCGGGGTTCAGTCGTGATGTGAGTAGGTCATGTGCTGCGTTGCTCCGTGTTGGATGTGTGGATGTCCTCATCTGCGCTCCGCCGCTGCCCCGCTGCCTGTGTCCCGCTTGCTTCGCATGTGGCTCTTTGCAGGTTGATGTGTTCGCTGTGCGGTGTGGCCGTGTTGTTGGTGTTGCCTTGCGCTTCGCTGCTTCGCTGCCGTGCTGCTCATCCGCTGGCCGTGTCTTCCGTGTTTGCCGCTTGTGTGCCCTGTAGGTTGGTTGCCTTGTTGCTGGTGCCTTGTGCTCCGCTCCACGGTTGCCGACCTGCTGGTCCACTCGCCCTGTTGTCCCCTGCAGTGCTGCTGCCGTGCTTGTGTTGTCTTGTACTTCACTTCACGGTTTCCGCGCTGCATCCTGCGTGCCATGTCGTTCCTTGCAGTCGTTTTTGGCGTTGTGCAGCCGCGTTGCCTCTACTGTGTTGCCTGGTGCTTCACAGGGTCGCTGCCCGCTGCTAAGTTCCGCTTGGGGACAGTCTGCATTCAACAAGGGTCAAGGGGTTCATGACCCAAACCATCAAATACGGAGATTCCGCAGATTGTTGAGGGTTCAGCCTCCTGATGAGTCGGTGCAATTCCGACGAAACAATCTATCATCAGCTTTTATTTTTTTCGGTTGTTTCTTTGTTGTTGTTCGATTTGCTATCTTTCCCCTGCTGCCTTATGCTGTTTGCCTGCACATCTGCCTACCCTATGCTTTTCACCTGGTGTGCTTTGTTGCCTTGAGCTGTTTGCCAGCCCATGCCATCTAGCTGAGTATGTGCCTTGCTGCCTTGCACTATTTGTTTGCCCATCCGTCTTCCCCATGCCCTCGAGTGTATGTCTTGTGCTGCATTGTCTTTCGTGCCTCGATGTTTTGTGTTGTTTGTTTGACCACCCGCCTCCCCCGTGCCCTCCAGCCTATGTCCTTTATTGTTTGTACTCCAACTGTTCAACTGTCAATGTTTGGTCCACTATGCGGTTATATGAGAATTGTCTTCGAGTTGTTTAGTGCATGGGTCTCTCCTTGGGTGTCGCCAGGCGGCCTGCCTTCCCGTCCTCTTCTCCCCCCGCCTCCCCCGGCCCCCCCCCCCCCCCCCCCCCCCCCCCCCCCCCCCCCCCCCCCCCCCCCCCCCCCCCTCTCTCTCTCTCTCTCTCTCTCTCTCTCTCTCTCTCTCTCTCTCTCTCTCTCTCTCTCTCTCTCTCTCTCTCTCTCTCTCTCGTTCGCACACAGGCTTGCGGATTTTCCACTTTTTTTTTCTTCTTTTTAATTGGTCACAAGGGTACCTGTTGCGGCTTCGCTGGCAAGGGAATGAGGGGAAAATGGGAGAAATGAGTCGGGGTGAGGGGATCGGGGGTTTGGGGGGTTGGGGTTAAGGGGGTGGGGGTCGGGGGTGTTTTGAGACTCACCTCAGAAACCTGTGCAAACACAGCTTTTTTTTTTTCCCTGCATTTTCATGGGGCTTACCTCTGAGATTCCTGTTGAAGCTGATCTCCGGTGCGTGCCCGCGTGCACTCGTCGTTTTTCCTTTTGTTGCTTGTCATCGTCGTCGTCATTTTGGGGGGTGGGGTAGTTAGTTCGGGGTCTCTCTCTCTCTCTCTCTCTCTCTCTCTCTCTCTCTCTATCTCTATCTCTATCTATCTCTCTGCGGTGTGCGCATCGTTTTTCCTTTTTTTTTTTTTTTTTAAGAACTACTGATGCTCCACGGGTCAGATATCAAACTGATCGGAACAGATACTACACTTGCTCGTCGTCGTCA